AGGGAAAGGGGGGAAGTGGGGGGGGGGGGGGCGTAGGGTGAAAAGGTCTAAGTGTTACAGTATGCCCACCGTTGAGTATTGAGGACATAGCAAGAAATTGAAAATGTTTCTTTTTCAGGGCATTATAGGTGTGCAGGCCACATGGACAACACTACGACATTAAACTGTGGTTACACATGGGCAAAATAGCAACATGCAGGCGAATGTGACAACAGGTGGGCAACAACGGTGGATAGCCCACTTCTGTTCATGATAATACAAGGACAACCGTACCATACCCGGGCAAGGAAGAAGCAAGAAAGTGCAGAAACATCCAATCCGGAATTCACTTTCACCAATTGTTTTTATAGGTTGATACCAATATTATCATAATTCTATGTTAATCATTTATTATGAATTTGTATCAGAATTTTATTGCATTTTAATCAGTTATTCCAATTTTCTAAAATAAAGAAAGCTCCACATTTCACAAAATTCTGTCCGCTCATCAGTGAGGTTGTCTTGTATGTGAGTGGCATTGGGAGGTCGGAATGAGCTCGGTTCATAGAGAGTCCTCCATTGGTGATGGGAATGAGCTCAGATCATAGAGAGTCATCCATTGGTGATGGGAATGAGCTCAGTTCATAGAGAGTCCTCCATTGGTGATGGGAATGAGCTCAGTTCATAGAGAGTCCTCCATTGGTGATGGGAATGAGCTCGGTTCATAGAGAGTCCTCCATTGGTGATGGGAGTGAGCTCAGATCATAGAGAGTCATCCATTGGTGATGGGAGTGAGCTCAGATCATAGAGAGTCATCCATTGGTGATGGGAATGAGCTCGGTTCATAGAGAGTCATCCATTGGTGATGGGAATGAGCTGAGTTCATAGAGAGTCATCCATTGGTGATGGGAATGAGCTCAGTTCATAGAGAGTCCTCCATTGGTGATGGGAATGAGCTCAGATCATAGAGAGTCCTCCATTGGTGATGGGAATGAGCTCAATTCATAGAGAGTCCTCCATTGGTGATGGGAATGAGCTCAGATCATAGAGAGTCCTCCATTGGTGATGGGAATTAGCTAAATTCATAGAGAGTCCTCCATTGGTGATGGGAATGAGCTCAGGTCATAGAGAGTCCTCCATTGGTGATGGGAATGAGCTCAGTTCATAGAGAGTCCTCCATTGGTGATGGGAATGAGCTCGGTTCATAGAGAGTCCTCCATTGGTGATGGGAATGAGCTCGGGTCATAGAGAGTCATCCATTGGTGATGGGAATGAGCTCGGTTCATAGAGAGTCATCCATTGGTGATGGGAATGAGCTCGGTTCATAGAGAGTCATCCATTGGTGATGGGAATGAGCTCAGGTCATAGAGAGTCCTCCATTGGTGATGGGAATGATCTCGGGTCATAGAGAGTCCTCCATTGGTGATGGGAATGAGCTCGGTTCATAGAGAGTCCTCCATTGGTGATGGGAATGAGCTCGGGTCATAGAGAGTCCTCCATTGGTGATGGGAATGAGCTTAGTTCATAGAGAGTCCTCCATTGGTGATGGGAATAAGCTCGGTTCATAGAGAGTCCTCCATTGGTGATGGGAATGAGCTCAGATCATAGAGAGTCCTCCATTGAGTCCAGAAGGTTCAGTTCTACATGTGTGTCAGCTGATATTCTAAGGATACATGGAGCCACTGCAAATGCCTAGTATTCCCATCGCCACCATCTTGGCTATCCTCCTCATGGTTCTAGTGATTGAATTAATAATTTTAGAGTCATTAACGGTGGTTAGTGAAAGAATGTCCCATTATAAAGATGGTCTGTATACCTGCACAGGGACAAGGTGTCTTGCGGGAAAAATGGAGGAGACTTTGTGCCCTCCAAGATACACTCTGAATATTGAGGGCATTTGGGATTGTTTAGGTTGAATGGTTTTTGGTCTCCGAGTGATTATCAAAACACTGCAAACCATTACTACCCAATAAGACTTAATATTCTAGCTGTGCACATTATTTGGTCACATGAACCATCTTAGTAAATTGATCATATGAGCAGAGGGAGTATAAAGTCTTACCAGGGAGGACATCAAGAGGAGGCAGACTGTGATCTTACCATTGAGGACATCAAGCGGAGGCGGACTGTGAACTTACCAGAGAGGACATAAAGAGGAGGCGGACTGTGATCTTACTAGAGAGGACATCAAGAGGAGGCCGACTGTGAACTTACCAGGGAGGACATCAAGAGGAGGCGGACTGTGAACTTACCAGGGAGGACATCAAGAGGAGGCGGACTGTGAACTTACCAGGGAGGACATCAAGAGGAGGCGGGCTGTGATCTTACCAGAGAGGACATCAAGAGGAGGTGGACTGTGATCTCACCAGGGAGGACATCAAGAGGAGGCGGACTGTGATCTTACCAGGGAGGACATCAAGAGGAGGCGGACTGTGATCTTACAAGGGAGGACATCAAGAGGAGGCGGACTGTGAACTTACCAGAGGAGAGGACATAAAGAGGAGGCAGACTGTGATCTTACCAGGGAGGACATCGAGAGGAGGCGGACTGTGAACTTACCAGAGGAGGACATCAAGAGGAGGCGGACTGTGATCTTACCAGAGAGGACATCAAGAGGAGGCCGACTGATCTTACCAGGGAGGACATTTCCATTGGTGATGGGAATGAGCTCGGGTCATAGAGAGTCATCCATTGGTGATGGGAATGAGCTCGGTTCATAGAGAGTCATCCATTGGTGATGGGAATGAGCTCGGTTCATAGAGAGTCATCCATTGGTGATGGGAATGAGCTCAGGTCATAGAGAGTCCTCCATTGGTGATGGGAATGATCTCGGGTCATAGAGAGTCCTCCATTGGTGATGGGAATGAGCTCGGTTCATAGAGAGTCCTCCATTGGTGATGGGAATGAGCTCGGGTCATAGAGAGTCCTCCATTGGTGATGGGAATGAGCTTAGTTCATAGAGAGTCCTCCATTGGTGATGGGAATAAGCTCGGTTCATAGAGAGTCCTCCATTGGTGATGGGAATGAGCTCAGATCATAGAGAGTCCTCCATTGAGTCCAGAAGGTTCAGTTCTACATGTGTGTCAGCTGATATTCTAAGGATACATGGAGCCACTGCAAATGCCTAGTATTCCCATCGCCACCATCTTGGCTATCCTCCTCATGGTTCTAGTGATTGAATTAATAATTTTAGAGTCATTAACGGTGGTTAGTGAAAGAATGTCCCATTATAAAGATGGTCTGTATACCTGCACAGGGACAAGGTGTCTTGCGGGAAAAATGGAGGAGACTTTGTGCCCTCCAAGATACACTCTGAATATTGAGGGCATTTGGGATTGTTTAGGTTGAATGGTTTTTGGTCTCCGAGTGATTATCAAAACACTGCAAACCATTACTACCCAATAAGACTTAATATTCTAGCTGTGCACATTATTTGGTCACATGAACCATCTTAGTAAATTGATCATATGAGCAGAGGGAGTATAAAGTCTTACCAGGGAGGACATCAAGAGGAGGCAGACTGTGATCTTACCATTGAGGACATCAAGCGGAGGCGGACTGTGAACTTACCAGAGAGGACATAAAGAGGAGGCGGACTGTGATCTTACTAGAGAGGACATCAAGAGGAGGCCGACTGTGAACTTACCAGGGAGGACATCAAGAGGAGGCGGACTGTGAACTTACCAGGGAGGACATCAAGAGGAGGCGGACTGTGAACTTACCAGGGAGGACATCAAGAGGAGGCGGGCTGTGATCTTACCAGAGAGGACATCAAGAGGAGGTGGACTGTGATCTCACCAGGGAGGACATCAAGAGGAGGCGGACTGTGATCTTACCAGGGAGGACATCAAGAGGAGGCGGACTGTGATCTTACAAGGGAGGACATCAAGAGGAGGCGGACTGTGAACTTACCAGAGGAGAGGACATAAAGAGGAGGCAGACTGTGATCTTACCAGGGAGGACATCGAGAGGAGGCGGACTGTGAACTTACCAGAGGAGGACATCAAGAGGAGGCGGACTGTGATCTTACCAGAGAGGACATCAAGAGGAGGCCGACTGATCTTACCAGGGAGGACATCAAGAGGAGGCGGACTGTGAACTTACCAGGGAGGACATCAAGAGGAGGCGGACTGTGAACTTACCAGAGAGGACATCAAGAGGAGGCGGACTGTGAACTTACCAGAGAGGACATCAAGAGGAGGCGTACTGTGATCTTACCAGAGAGTACATCAAGAGGAGGCCGACTGATCTTACCAGGGAGGACATCAAGAGGAGGCGGACTGTGAACTTACCAGGGAGGACATCAAGAGGAGGCGGACTGTGAACTTACCAGGGAGGACATCAAGAGGAGGCGGACTGTGAACTTACCAGAGAGGACATCAAGAGGAGGCGTACTGTGATCTTACCAGAGAGGACATCAAGAGGAGGCGCACTGTGATCTTTCCAGAGAGGACATCAA